CAGCGTTCACCTCATCCTTATCCATGGCAGAGGCTACCCTGGGCACCAGGCTGCCCGGTGAACAAGTGTGTGCCCTGCATGCCTCACGCAGGATGGGCCATGGCCTGCCTTGGTGCCGGTCTCTGGGCCTGGGCAAAGTCCCTGCCCTGGAGGAAGTGTCTGTCTAATGGATAAGACCCTCTGGCAAGTCCCACTCACACTGGGTCCCCTAGGCCAGGTCAAGGGCCTGGCCCCGTGAGTGCTTGGTTGAGAGGCCTCATCACACACCAGGCTTGGTTCTCACTGTATTGGTGCCTGGAGTGAGGAGAGCGAGCGGATGGGAACACACATCCACAGGGAAGAACTGAGGCTCTGTAACCGTGTCAGTCGCTCGCTTGAAGCCTCCTTTATAAGATGTAGGCTCTGCACCTGTGTCCTGGTTATTATTCTGTGACTGTCACACTGCGGCCTTGGTACACTGGGGCCCTGCCCTGGCAGCACTCAAGCACCTTCAGAGCAGTGGCCAGACAGGGATGCGTGGTGTGGCCGTGTGTCACAGCAGGAGACCACGGTTGCCATGGCAAGGTGCTTCATAGCAAGTGGTCTGCTGGGTGACCAACACAGCCTGGCCAAGCCGGCTTGATTCTGGAGCGCATGGGACATCCATCCAGGGGACCCCAGGCTGCTGACCTCAGCATGTCTCCACTGGAGAGCCTCACTCACGCCAGTGCAAGGTGGCACCCACTTGCTGCAGCCCAGATGCCCACACAGAACTGTGGGCCGGGAGAGGCCAGCGAAAGCAGGCCCACCTGCCAGGCCAGGCACCTGCCCCGGAGCGCTGCTGTCACGCTGCTGTCACACTGCTGTCCCGGCCGCCCTGCGTGGCCCCTCCTTCCTCGGGTGCTCTGTTTCAGGAGTGGTTTTTCCTCTGGCCATGTCACTGTTGTTGTGGCTGTTCTTCCCCAGGTAGCCAACTGCATATTCATGGAAGCTCATTCTTCTTTTTTCTGTGCAAAGGGCCTTGTTGAGTAAATGTAGTCATTTTCTAAATGGCTGGCTTGAAGTGTTTATCAGACTTGAATTCCACAGTAATCTGCATGCCCCGTGTCAGTGCGCTGGAGGCAGCTGAGGCTGGTAGCAGCTCGGGTGGACTTCTGCCCTCCGAGGGGCATGGGCAGAGGTCAGGCCTGGACGGCGGAGCCCCCTCAGGGTCTCCTAGAACTTTCTGTTGGTTTAGTTTTGTAGCCACAGATTAACTTCAAGTTGGAAATGATTCTGTAAGTTCTTTGAAAACAACATACCTTTCTGGGCGTTTGTTGCTGGAGAACTCCCCACGGTTGCCGTGTTGAGAAACAGAAGTAGAGGAGGAGGAGGGTCAAGCTGGGACTGTGTCCATCTTCCAGTCACCTGTTTGCTCCCTGCACTCATACATCCAGTCATTCATTCATCACAGTCACCCGACAGACACTCACGGACTCTCACGGTGTGCTCTGGGGGCCGGGAAACAAAGGTGACACAGACCTGGACCCACACCTGACCAGCTCACACCCCAGGGTGGGCAGGGACCCTAAGCACTTACGCCCTTTTTGTGATGAATGCTTCCATAGAGGTGGGCATAGAACCAAGAAGAGGGGAAGGCTCCCCATGTGGGGTGATTCTGGAAGCATCTAGGAGTTTTGATGTCCGGGTAGCCTGGCACTGGGCAGAGACAGGTGCCCTGTTGGAAGCCTGCCGTGAGGCTGAGCCCGAGGCACGGGGAAGCCTTCGTGGTGGCGTGGGTGTTGTTGGTCACCTTGTGCCACCGCAGGAGGCACAGTGTTTGAGGGGAGGACAGCAGTGAAGGCTGAGGAGTCTGGCGCCTTTCTCAGGCACTCTGACTTCCTTCTGTGGGCCATTTGTGTGGATCCTAAGACACCGCCTGGCACCCCCTTTTGCTCGTCCCCTGGGGGATGAGCAGCTGTGAGATTAAATCCTGCTGGGGCTGCGGCCTCAGGGCCCCCAGGTAGCCCTGCTCTGTTCCCTCTGCTCGCCACACTACCCTTTACTTAGAGACTGTGGGAGCCATTTCTTGGTAGTGAAGTTAGTTTTATTTAAAAAACAAATGTCTTTAATAAAGCGCCAGCTGACGAGAAGGAAGCTGTTAAGTGAACCACGAGCTGGTGCCGCCTCTGGACCTGCGCTGCGGTGCCCCCACCCTCCGTCCCTCCGTCCCTCCCTCCCTTCCTTCCTTCCTTGGTGTGGAGCTCCGGGCGTGGTGTCCCATATGAGCCACTGGGACCCTCCTTCCTGTGCCCGTGGGCCTGCGTGGTGCCATGTCTGTGTGACCTGCCCTCTGAGGAGGTCCCAGTGCACAGGTCTGACCAGCATGGCAGCATCTTCTCTGGAGCCTCTCACATCCCACCTGGAAGAGTCCGATGTAGAGTTGAGATGAGAATCTGTGTTTAACAGCTCCTGAGGCAATGACGAGGAGGAGGAGGGGGAGGAGGAAGATGAAGACATGATGGTGTCCAGCCCTATTTGGTACTGCCTCGGCTCACTGCCAAGCCCACTGCACCCTGGGGCCAGGCCCTCCCCACCCCCAGAGTGGGCCCACGCGTTTCCTGTGCCCCAGCCAGCTCTGGCCCTGGCTCCTCCAGTGTTTTTCGCCCAGCCCCTTTTGGAAGTGCTCCAAGGCAGGGGATGCAATCCTGGCCTACTTGCTGGGGGCCTTGGGCGATGGAGCTCGAATAGGCCCAGTGCAAAGATGACGTCTCATTGAAATAGTAGATTTTGTACAAACAACTAATGATGAGAATTGACTTTATGGCGTATTGTGTGTTGGTTTTGGTTTTAATACACAAATAACATTTTCAGTCGCTCACAGTCAGCTGTCCTTGCTGCTCGCGTGTGACCCTCTCTGCTTGCAGCCCACTCTAGCACTGAAGCTTCAGGTTCTCTGAGTCACATCAGGCACCAGCGTTCCCAGCCGGTCATCCACCAAAATATTCCACCTCGAAGCTCTGTCGGGGGCAGGGGAGACCGGTGGGCTTGCTAATGAAGAAATGCGGACATCTATGGCCGTGTTTGTGTGGTGTGTGCCACGCCTTTTCATAGAGCAAAGAGCAGACCAACCCCCTGTGGTAGCAGCTGAGTATCTGCGGTGAGCAGGTGCCAGCTGGAGGAACCGCGGTGCAGGCTGCCCGCTGCCGGAGACCCCACCTCCACCTGCTTGCCCGGCCTGCGTGGCCAGCTCGTACCTGTTCTCTGCAGGGCCCGGAGCCCTGGTGCTCACGTTTGCCACTGCAAAGGCAGCACGCAGTCGTGGGTGTATGGGTGCCTGTGGGTCCAGGCGGCCTTCTGGTGGGCAGTCCTGTGGGGTTGTGGCAAGACAGTCCAGCCTCCCTTGTGACTTCCTCCCAGGCTTGCCCCTGGGGCCGAGGGGAGCGTTTGCTGTTCTGCTCCGCCCAGTTCTGCAGTCTCCACAGTTAATTATTCACCATCCTGTGGGAGTAGAGTGTGTGTTGCTGCATCTACCCCAAAGTGTGAACCAGGGCCTCACCCTGCAGACATCCCTGACACCCAGCCCCACGGGAGTCCTGCCCAGCGTGCTTGCTCCGAGGACAGCAGAGGTTTAGGGGAGGAGGGGGACAGTGAAGACAGAGACAGTGAAGGGACCAGCTCCGGTTACAACAGGGTCCTATCGTGGGGAAAAGAGCTGCCTGTGTTTTCCCAGGGCCAGCCTAGCGTAGCCTTCTTGGAAACCAGCCCCTGTCCTTAAGGGACGGCAGCTCCCAGTCCCACGGCCCTGATGTCCAGGCGGACATTAGTGTGTCTTGGCAGAGCTCCTGGCCCTTCAGGTTCAGGGCGTTGCTGATGGACCCTGCTATGCCTCTTCACCCTGCTTCTCACTTGTTGCTGAAATATTGCAACTTACCAGGGACTTGAGTGAAACAAACCAGTCCACAGCACACTAGCTTTTCTCTGGTATTTGTTTGTCATTTCTAGAACTTTCTTTGAGGGATTGAATGGAGATCCCTGTGAAGTTTTATAGGATCTTTTCTCAGGGCAAGCCAGGGTGAGGTAAGTGTGGAGAGAAGGAAGGTGTAACTTGGAAGCAGGGGTAAGGAAGTGAGCTCAGCAAGAGGGCTGTCAGCAGCCCTGGGGTGCACCTGTGTTTTAAAAATCAAGGACCCACAATCTGGCTCAATTTGGCAATCATCAGCAATTATGATTTGTTTGTATAAAGGAGCATCCGTTCTTCTAGGCTCTTTAGAGTAGGACTTCACGGGCAGAACCTTGGAAAGAGGAGCATAGGCACCATGATCACCGGGATTTTCCTTCCGGGAGTGACAGCTCCAGGACTCAGCAGTGGGTGAGGCAGGGAGTGCAGGGCCGGAGCTCAGGCTGCAGGGCTGCCGCCACCACAGCTGAACGACGGGAGCACACGTGGCTTCTGGGAGTGATGCTTGGGAAAGCCTGGCTCTTTCCAGAGGTGCAGCGGTCTTCAGGCGTGTCCCCATCCTGGAATGCAGGGGTGTCGTCCGCCTGGCCCGCCACCCTCTGTCCCACCCACCCACTCAAATGCTGGGTCCAGGCACAGGTGGAGCATTTCCCTGGACAAGATTGGGCCCCTCTCGGGGAGCAGGCAAGCTTATCTCCTCTGTGTCTTTAAGTCCCTCTGGGACACCAGCTTGGGTCTGTGGAGCTTCTGTGGAATAGGGGAAAGAGCACCTATCTGTGGACACCCTGACCCGGCCCCCCCCCATCTTCCTGGGTGTTAGGGCATGAAGCGCCCGAACCTGGCCGTGATTATAATCATCACGTGGGCAGCGCCGCCATCTTTCCCTCTCCTCTAGGAAGGGAGCGCTGTCGTCTCTCATTAATAGATTGCATTCTTTGCTCCTCAGGGGTTGCCACTTGGGATTCCCTGTCGAAGTGGGCTTCTGAGGCGGGTGCAGGGCCTTGGAGGCACAGTGAACTGGGTGTCAGTGCCTCCAGAGGGCTCCCCTGACAGCCTCGGGGCCTGTGTTTGTTTCGTGCAGAGCAAGTGCACCGGCACCTGGACCAGCACGAGGTGAGATACCTGCAGTTTGCCTTCCGCTGGATGAACAACCTGCTCATGAGGGAGCTGCCCCTGCACTGCACCGTCCGCCTCTGGGACACCTACCAGGTGAGCTCCGCTTCGCGCCCCTCCCCGCCGTGGGTGCCGGGAGCCCGGCCGTTTCCTGTCGCCTTCTGCCCTGGCCTGCGTGCTGCATTTGGTTTTGCTTTCAGGGCACTCTCTCCATTGAAATCTGATCTGTAGAAAGAATGCTGCTGGCCAGGCACGGTGGCTCACACCTGTAAATCCTAGCCCTTTGGAAGGCTGAGGCAGGTGGATTGCCCAAGCTCAGGAGTTCGAGACCAATCATGGGCAAATGGCAAAACCCTGTCTCTATTAAAAATACAAAAAATACAAAAAAATCACCTGTAGTCTTAGCTACTCAGAGGCCAAGGCATGAGCATCTCTGGAACCTGGGCGGCCCAAGATCGTGCCATTGCACTCCAGCCTGGAGACAGAGCGAGAATCCGTCTCAAATAAATGAATGAATGAATGAATGAATGAATGAATGAATGATGTAAAACAGGGAAAAGAACTTCAGGCCGTTCTCTTTGTGGCTGAGTTTCATTTTGCCTGCATGGCAATGTGCTCGCTGGCAAGTTACGTTCTGAGCAGTGTGCTCGGCGCATGCGCGGGGTGCTGGTGACTGCTGTGAGTTTGAGCTACTTCTGCCAAAAAACTCACGCTCGGGACTCACACCTTGTCTATACTTTGAGTTGTGTATAATAAATATTTTTTAAAATCACAGATTCAGTGCAGCATGAAATTTTGTACTCTTTACCAGTTCTGATGAAATTCAGTTCTTGAGGAGATTGAGTTTTCTGGAAGAAGCCACCTCTGTTCCCTTGAGTGTCCTGTCACTTATTCTAGCACCTTTTCATTTTGTTGGAGATGTTTGCTGAAGTGGAGGCGGTGCTGTGGGGGGGGGGTTTATGCGCAAGCCTTTCATCGTCAGTTACAAACAGCAGGCACCATTATGTGGGATTAGGAATCAAATCTCTACAGAGTGCTAAAGAGAGATGCATATGGGTGGTTTTCATCCCGACACCTCAAGAGCCAGGCTTTCTACTGCAGTGAGCACAGCCTTTCATGGGCTGTGTGTTCCGGCTTTGCAGGGGGCCGGCCGCCCCTGGAGGCTGATGCTGGGGGCGGGGATTTCTATAAAGGGGAGCTCTAGGCGGCTGGCTTTTTCTAAGTCCGAATAGGTCCCAAGCACTGCGTTGGTCCCAGAGCAGCTAGGGAGGGCCTGGGGGTCTTTCTGACCAGCCCCTCCCCACAGGGCCTCAGGCTGGATGCGTTCTTCCTGCAGGTCTGGGCGCCTCCTGGGCCTCCATGCTCTCCGGTCTCTTCTTCTGAGCCTGACTTGGTATGAGTCATCTAGAACGATGCCCCAAAGCTTTGCCCCTGGCACCGGCTGCTGGCCAGTGTGCCCCTTGGTGGGTGTGTGTTTCATGATCTGAAGTCCTGTGTTTTGACTTTTGCTTTTCCTTTGTGCCGCTCGTGTGGTCCAGTGATCTCACCACGGAGATGATCACCAGTCAGCAGACTGTCATTGAAGTTCCCCACTTGGGTTTTGCTCTTCTAAGTGTTTGGCAGCTACAGAATTTCTGGCCAGCAGCATCTGCCGGGACATAAAGCCTTACCTTGGGCTGTCTGGTTAAAGTAACTGTCAGTTTAGTGCTATTAATCGGCTCTCCATAATATTACAGGAAACAAAACTTAATATCCTGTAAATTGCTAATGCTCTCCATTTTTGTGATTGGTTAGGCTGTTTGAGGCCCAGACCTCCCTCATTAAACACAGAGTTCCTTGTAATACTGTCCCCATTACGAACAAATTAGGTATTATAAGTCAGTCGCATTTTTGAGGAGCCAAAAGATGGATCGGCTTGCCCGTGTTCTGCACCGCGTCCCGAAAACTCCTAATAGGTATTAAAACTTTAAGCACAATTGTGGCATCTTTATTGAGTTAATTTTCTTGAAATTAAATCTTGTCATGAATTGACTCATTTGTACCAGGGACTCATTCTTGAACTGACAGTGCCCTGGTTATAAACCTCTTCATATCTTAAAAATTGGGGTACTTCTATTTTACAGGGCCAAGTAACCATGAAATTGTATTGCATCTTTTGGCAGTGAAAATACATAGTAATCATAGGAAAGCAACCGGGTGATTAGTCTCCCCTAAACTGGGGTGTTTATTAGCTGAGCCATTACAGGTTTCAGTTACTCCTTAACCCCTTACGAGGAAGCTTAAAATCCTCTCGGGACACGTGTCGCCAAAAGGAAGTTTATAAGCACTGACGCTGTCCCAGGTCCTGAACGAGATGGTATACAGAAATGAAGGGGGTGCATTGTGGTGAGCGTGACAAAAGGCATGGAAGAAGAGCCAGTTATGCAGAGATAGCCCAGACGGGAGAAAATGACCCTTCACCCTGGGGGTTGCATGCCCCCTCATGGATGCCTGAAGTGGCCGTGGGGAGGCAGTCCCAGCTCCTGGAAGAACCCTAGGCTGTGAGAGCCAGTTTGGGTCCTCTGTCAAACATGGATGCCAGCTTTCCTTTTTGCCCCCATTTTGGACAGCAGCAAAGATGCACCCAGCTGTCTACGACCATACCCTACTCTCAGATCTCTGGATGTCTCCTGCCTTCAGCAAGACAGAGATCTCTGGGCTTCTTTCCTTTGCTGTTGGTTGGCAGCTGGAGAGCTGACTGGGTCCACTTTTACATTCCTTGTTGCCACTTATTCAGCCAGGCGCTCTTGTTCCATTTCCCTGTCCCCAACCCTCACGGCTCTGCTCTGGAGCCTCTTCTTCAACACGGTGGACATATGTCCTCGATGTATTGGACATACATCCTTCCATCGTCATGTGGGGCTTTGCTGCACAGTCCATGAAGAAAAGCAGTGTGAAGTTGCCAGGAATATGACCAGATGGGTGCTTCAGGCCTCACTGCTGGGGCACAGGCTATGCTTTGAGTAGTTGGTGCTGAGCTGGGCGGCTCCTGGGTCTGAGGATGCAGTGCCTAGTTCGTGCTGCGGATGGTTTGGGGCAGCTTGCCTCCATGAGGATTCCCTATGGCACCCCCTCACCATGGCCCTAGCTCCTGGGTGCTGGCTACAAGCTGCCGCCTTGCTCCCATGTGGGATGACCCCTTTGGAGGTAGGGTGGCCGTGGGCTCTGCTGAACCCGCTGGCTGCCTGGGCTCCAGGCAAGCAGAATCTTGTTCTCTGAGAGTGGCAGTTTGCTAAGGTCAGAGGTACATCAAGGGCAGGAATGTCCCGGCAGCTCCTCAGCCTTCAGAGCACGGATGCCTTGCTCGTATGAACTTTCCCAGCGTCGCTCCTCCAGCAGTGTCCCAAGGCCACGTGTGTGACCTCTGTTGTATGAGGCCAGGCGTCAGCCACGAGGGAGAGTGTACCAGTAATCAGTTGCTCTGAGGAGGCAGGTGGGCCTGATATTGATGAGCACGTGTTCTCTTCTTTCATTAATTCAGAAATAACTTGTAATGTTAAAGGTCAGGAATAGGGGGTGAAGCTGGAACAGGCTCTGTAGCTGCCACTTGAGAATGGGTTGGAAGGTCTGGCCAGCAGGCACCTTGGACAGCTCCCTGGGGAACTGCGTGGCTGGGCGCTGCCTGTCTCCGTCTCTGATCGGCAGCTTCGTTCCTCCCTCGACGTGAATATTTATTCCAGAAGCAAGCGTCGAGAGCCTGCTGTGCGCTACGCCATGCTGGGACTGGGGAGACCCGGGACACCAGACAGGGACGTCCCTGTCCTCACGGCGCTTACCTTCTCGTGGGAGATCAGGAATGGAGGCCGGATGCGCGTGTGGCAGGCAGGGCTCTGTGCGAGCGAGTCGCAGATGCTGCAGACAATGATGTCAGGAAGCCAGGGGTCGTTCCTGAGTAAAGAATGAGAGGAAAGTGGCATTTTAAAACCAGTCACGCAGATGGGTATGGAGGGAGACGCCTGGAACCCAGGAGCAGGGCTGAGCCCGCTTTTGGGGTCCCCCTGGTGTGGAAGGAGCAGAGGCAGGGACGCTGGTGGTATGAACATGGGGGCCGCGTTCAAGGGGCAGAGGGCTTCGGGGGCTGCTTTTAGTGGTAGGGAGTGGGGACAGCCTCTCTGTGGACGTGCGAGCTGGAGCCTGAGTGAAGGGAGGGGTGAGGCAGGTGAAGGTGCAGGGAGAGAGCCTGTGCAGAGGATGCTGTGGGCATCCAGGACACGGGACACTGTTACCTGGAGGATCGTCTCCTCAGAGCCACCGATGTGGCGGGAGTAAAATCAGAGACACCTCTGTGAACTCACGCTTCACTCACTGAGGTGGGTACAGGTGGCTACATGTGGATGCAGGCAGAGATATGTACATACATGTGTCAGCTCACATGTGCATGGCCTGTGTGAACTCACACCTCACTCAGTACACGATGGCAGCTATACGTAGACACAGGTAGAGACATGTACATACATACGTGTCAGCTCACACGTCATGGCCAGTGTGAACTTGCACCTCAGTACAGGATGGTGGCTACATG